CAGAGGTGGTGGCACACAACCAGGCCCTTCCAGGACGGCGACGTTATCTACCGGGGCCCGCCCAGGGTCCTGCCAGGGGTGGTGGCGCTCCCAGGGGTCCTGCCAGGGTGGTGGCGCTCCCAGGGGGCCTTCCATGGAAAGCATACCCCCAGGGCTTCATCAGTGGTGTCGACAATATTGCATACGCCCAGCAATTCATTTAACCTGATTGGTGGAATAAAATGCAAATCCACCAAATTAAAGGCAATATGAGAACAGAGCAATCAGTCGGCACAACACCCAAATTTATGTTTTCCTGTTGATTTATTCTCCTTGTCATTGTTCAGGATAATGATATACTGGAAATGCGATGGACGGTGCATCTATTTAACGTCATATCTCTCAGGTGGTATGCCCCCAGGGCCGCTTGCAGGACAGTGAAGCTCAGCGGCCCTCCCAGGACAGCAGCGCCCCTAGGAGCCTTAGGGCCGTGGTGCTCCCCAGGAGCCCCCCTCCAGGGCCGTGACGCCTGCAGCAGCCCCTTTAAGAGGCAGTGGTACTCCTGGAGCCCTCCCAGGGCCCTGCCAGGGGCGCTAGTGTTCCCAGGGTCTTCCAGGCTCGGTGACGCCCTAGGGGCGTTGGTACCCCAAGGGATCCTGCAAGGGATGGTGATGCCCCATGGTCCCTCCCAGGGGCGACGGCAGGCACTGGGACCATCCCAGGTCCTGCCAGGGGTCGTGGTGCCCACAGGAGCTCTCCCAGGAATAGTGCCCTGGGCGGGCCCTGCCCGGGGCGGTATCGCCCAGGAGCCCTCCCAGGGGCGGTGGCGCCCACTGAGATCTACCATGGGCATTGCCAGAGGTGGTGGTGCACCTTAGGGGCCCTCCCAGAAAGAGGGACGCTCAGGGCTCCTGTCAGAGGTGGTAATGCCACCACATTCCCTTGTCAGGGGCGATGGAGCCCCTGCTGCTCCTCCCAGGGCGAGACGGTGCCCCCTGGGACCTCCCGGGGTAGTGGTGCCCACAGGAGCCCCCCCAGGGACGCCCCCTCTGGGGCCTTACCAGAGACGGTGACTCTCCTCCCAGGTGCCATCCCGAGGCAGTAGCGTCCTCCCCAGGGTTGTGACATCGGGTGTTGGTGACACTCCCCAGCTCTGCAGGCAGGGGACAGCAGCGACCACAGGCCTTCCCAGGGACAGTGGTACTTTGTAGGGGCCCCTTCCAGGGAAAGTGATTTCACAGGCCCCTCCCAGAGTGGTGGCGTCCCCAAGGGCCCCTTCCAGGGGCGGTGGTACTCACCAGGGCCCCTTCCAGGACGGCGGCGGCTCACTGAGACCCTCCCAGGGGTCCTGCCAGGGTGTGGTACCCTAGGGCCTCCAATGGAAAGCACACCCCTAGGGGCTTGATCGTGGTGTCGACAATATTGCATACGTCCAGCAATTCCTTACTTAACCTGATTACAGGAATAAAATGTAAATCCACCAAATTAAAGGCAATATGAGAACAGAGCAATCAGTCGGCACAACACCCAAATTTATGTTTTCCTGTTGATATTTATTCTCCTTTCGTTCAGATATGATGATACTGAAATGCGATGACGGTGTATCTATTTAACGTCATATCTCAGGCGGTCGCCCCCCAGGTGCCCTTTGCAGGGACAGTGGCGCTCTCAGCGCCCTCCTTCCAGAAACAGCAGCGCCCCTAGGAGCCCCTTCCAGGTGCGGTGATGTCTGCAGGAGCCCTCCCAGAGGAGGTGGTGCTCCCTGTAGCCCTCCCATACCCCCAAGAAATGTAGTGCTAACAGTGGGGTCCTTCCAGGCGTGACGCCCCTAGAGATGGTACCCCCAAGGGACCCTGCAGGACGGTAGTGCCCCCATGGTCCCTCCCAGGGGCGACGGTGACCCTGGGACCATTCCAGGGGTCCTGCTAGGAGGTTGTGGTGCCCACAGGAGCTTCCCAGGATAGCGGTGTTCTAAGGGTCTCTGCCAGGGGCGGTATCACTTCCAGGAGCCTCCGAGGGGCGGTGGCGCCCACTGAGATGTGTAATACCATGGGCATTGCCCGAGGCAATGGTGCCCCTCAGGGGCCCTTTCAGAAACAGGACGCTCTCAGGGGCTCCTGTCAGAGGAGGTGTAATGCCACCAGGTTCCTGTCAGGGGCGATGGAGCCCTCCAAGGGTCCTTCACAGGGACGACGGCGCCCACCAAGATCTCCCAGGTAGTGGAAAGCAACAGGAGCCCTCCCAGGACGCCCTGAGGCCCCCAGGTGGTGACTCTTCCGTCCCATCCAGAGGCAGGTAGCGTCCCCAGGGGCTCTGATAGGGCTCTTGTCCACACCGGCTCTGGCAGGGGACAGCGGCAGCTCACAGGGGCCTTCCTCCCAGGGACAGTGGTACCTCGGCGGTCCTGCCAGGGGCTGTAATTCCCCACAGGGGCCTCCCAGAGGCGCAGGTGGCGTCCCCAGGGGCCCTTCCAGGGCGGTGGTGGCACCACCAAGGGCCCTTCCAGGGATGGTCGCCCATTGGGGCTCCGCCCAGGGCCCTGCCAGAGGTGGTGGCACAACCAGGGGCCCCCTTCCAGGGGACGGCGACGTGCCCACTGGGGCTCCGCCCAGGGTCCTGCCAGGGGTGGTGGCGCTCCCAGGGGGCCTTCCATGGAAAGCACACCCCTAGGGGCTTGAGCGTGTCGACAATATTGCATACGCCCAGCACCTTACTTGAACTCTGATTGGTGGAATAAAATGGAAAATCCACCAAATTAAAGGCAATATGAGAACAGAGCATTCAGTCGGCACAACACCCAAATTTATGTTTTCCTGTTGGATATTTATTCTCCTTGTCATTGTTCAGGATACGATGATACTGGAAATGCGGGGATGGACGGTGCATCATCTATTTAACGTCATATTCTTAGGTGGGAGGCCCCAGGGGCCGTTGCAGGGACAGTGAAGCTCTAGCGGCCCTCCCAGGGGACAGCAGCGCCCCTAGAGCCTTAGGGGCGGTGGTGCCCCAGGAGCCCCTTCCAGGGCCGTGACGCGTCTGCAGGAGCCCTTTCAGAGGCAGTGGTACTCCCTGGAGCCCTCATATGGGCCTGCCAGGGCGCTAGGGTGCTCCCAGGGTCCTCAGGTTCGGTGACGCCCTAGGGCGTTGCACCCTAAGGGACCCCTTGCAAGGGATGGTGGTGCCCCCATGGTCCCTCCCAGGGGCGACGGTGGCACTGGGACCATCCCAGGGTCCTGCCATTAGGTCGTGGTGCCCACAGGAGTTTCCAGGAATAGCGGTGTTCTAAGCGGGCCCCACCCGGGGCGGTATAGCCCAGGAGCTCCCCACCAGGGGCGGTGGCCTCGCAGGAGATCTACCATGGCATTGCCAGAGGTGGTGGTGCACCCCAGGGGCCCTCCCAGAAAGAGGGACGCCTCAAAATTCTGTCGAGGTGGTAATGCCACCACATTCCCGTCAGGGGCGGTGGAGCCCCTGAAGGCCCGTCCCAGGGGTGACGGTGCCCCTGGGACCTTCCCGGGGTAGTGGTGCCCACAGGAGCCCCCCAGGGACGCCCTCTGGTTCCTTACCAGAGACGGTGACTCTCCCAGGTGCCATCCCAGGAGCAGAAGCGTCCCCAGGGGCTCTGATAGGGGGTGTTGGTGACATTCCCCAGGGCCTGTGGGACAGCAGCGACCACAGGCCTTCCCAGGACAGTGGTACCCTCAGGGTCCTTCCAGGGAAAGTGATTTCCACAGGGCCTCCCCAGAGGCTGTGGCGTCCCCCAAGGGCCCTTCCAGGGGCGGTGGTACCCACCAGGGGCCCCTTCCAGGGACGGCGCCCACTGAGCATCCTCCCAGGGGTCCTGCCAGGGGTGGTGGCGCTCTCAGGGGCCTTCCATGGAAAGCACAATTCCCCTAGCTTTGAGCGTGGTGTCGACAATATTGCATACGCCCAGCAAATTCCTTACTTAACTCTGATTGGTGGAATAAAATGTAAATCCACCAAATTAAAGGCAATATGAGAACAGAGCAATCAGTCAGCACAAATAATCTAAATTTATGTTTTCTCCTGTTGGATATTTATTCTCCTTTTCATTGTTCAGGATATGATGATACTGGAAATGCGATGGACGGTGTATCTATTTAACGTCATATCTCAGGGCGGTCGCGCTCCCCAGGTGCCCTTGCAGGACAGTGGCGCTCTCAGCGGCCTCCCAGAAAGAGCAGCGCCCCTGGGAGCCCTCTTCCAGGTGCGGCATGCCCCGCTGCAGGAGCCCTCCCAGAGGAGGCAAGTGTGTGGTGTACTCCCTGAGCCCTCCCAGGGCTCTGCGAGGGCGGTAGTGCTAACAGGGGTCCTTCCAGGCGCGGTGACGCCCCTAGAAACGTTGGTACCCCAAGGGACCCTGGGACGGTAGTGCCCCATGGTCCCTCCCAGGGGCGACGGTGACCCTAGGACCATTCCAGGGGTCCTAGGGGTTGTGGTACCACAGGAGCTCTCCCAGGATAGCGGTGCTCCTAAGGAATACCTGCCAGGGGCGTGTATCGTTCCAGGAGCCCTCCAGGCGGTGGCGCCCACTGAGATGTACCATGGCATTGCCCGAGGGGCGATGGTGCCCTCAGGGCCCTCCCAGAAACAGGGACGCCTCAGGGCTCCTGGGTCAGGAGGTGGTAATGCCACCCAGGTTCCCCTGTCAGGGGAGATGGAGTCTCCAAGGGTCCTTCTCATACAGGACGACGGCGCCCAATTGACCCTCCCAGGGGTAGTGGTGCCCACAGGAGTTCTTCAGGGGACGCCTCTCTGGGGCCCCTGCTGCCAGAGGTGGTGACTCTTCCAGGTACCATCCCAGGCAGTAGCGCCCTAGGGCTCTGATAGGGGCTCTGTGTCCAACGGCTCTTGCGGGACAGTGGCGATTCACAGGCCTCCTCCCAGGGACAGTGGTACCGGCGGTCCTGCTAGGAAGGTAATCTCCCACAGGGGCCCTCCCCAAGTGGCGTCCCCAGGGGCCCTTCCGGGCGGTGGCACCACCAAGGGCCCTTCCAGGGATGGCGTCGCCCATTGGGGCCCGCCCAGGGGCCCTGCCAGAGGTGGTGGCACAACCAGGGCCCTTCCAGGAACGGCGACGCCCACCGGGGCCCGCCCAGGCCCTGCCAGGTGTGGTGGCGCCTCAGGGGGCCTCCCATGGGAAAGCACACCTCAGGGGCTTGATCGTGGTGTTTCCATAATATTGCATACGTCCACCCTTACTTCTAATCCCCCTGATTGGTGGAATAAAATGTAACCACCAAATTAAATATATGAGAACAGAGCATCTACAGTCGGCACAACACCCAAATTTTATGTTTTCCTGTTGGATATTTATTCTCCTTTTCATTGTTCAGGATAATGTATGATACTAAAAATGCGATGGACGGTGCATCATCTATTTAACGTCATATTCTCAGGGTGGTGGCGATTCCCCCAGGGGCCGCGTTGGGACAGTAGCTCTCAGCGGCCCTCCCAGGGACAGCAGCGCCCCTAGAGCCCCTGCTAGGGGCGGTGGTGGTGCCCCCAGGAGCCCCTTCCAGGGCCGTGACGTCTGCAGGAGCCCCTCAGAGGCGGTGGTACTCCCGGAGCCCTCCCAGGGAACCTGCCAGGGCGCTAGTGCTCCCAGGGGTCCTTCCAGGTGAGGTGACGACCCTAGAGGCGTTGGTGGCCCCTAAGGGTTCCCAAGGGACGGTGGTGCCCCATGTCTCCTAGGGTGACGGTGGCCCTGGGTCCATCCCAGGGTCCTGCCAGGGTCGTGGTGCCCAAGCAGGAGCTTCCAGGAATAGCGGTGCTCCTAAGGGCCCCTGCCCGGGGCGGCACGCCTCCAGGAGCCCTCCCAGGGGCGGCGCCCATCAGATTACACCATGGGCATTAAGCAGAGGTGGTGGTGCACCTCAGGCCCTCCCAGAAAGAGGGACGCCTCAGGGCTCCCTGGTTAGAGGTGGTAATGCCACCACATTCTCTGTCAGGGCGATGGAGCCTCAAGGCCCTCCCAGGCGACGGTGCCCCCTGGGACCTTCCCAGGGGTAGTGGTGCCCACAGGAGCCCTCCCAGGGACGCCCCTCTGGGGCCCACCAGAGACGCAGACGCTCCCAGGTGCCATCCCAGAGGCAGTAGCGTCCCCAGGGGTTTCCTGGACAGGGCGGTGGTGCCGCCAGGGGTTTCTTGCGGGGGACAGCGGTGGCGCCCACAGAGGCCTTCCCACGGATTGTGGTACCCTAAGGTCCTTCCAGGAAGGTGATTCCCACAGGGGCCCCTTTCCAGAGGCGGTGGCGTCCCCAAGGGCCCTTCCCCCAGGCGGTGGCACCCACCAGGGGCCCTTCGAGGGGGGCTCTCCCAGGGGTCCTGCCAGGTGTGTTGGCGCACCCAGGGGCCCTCCCATGGACAGCATCTCCCATGGGGCTCTTCTAGGACAGCTACGTCCTTAGGTGGTTCCCCAGGGTCCCTCCCAGGGCTTTCAAGATTATTAGGACCCAAGTATATTGATTTCGTTAGGTAAGATTAGATTATGTTTGCGTTGGTTAATTTAGGTTAGATTAGATAAGTTAGGTTTGGTCACAATAAATTTTAGGTTAGGTTATGATAAGTTAACAATCATGCTTCCCAAGCTCACCTATGCTTCTTCCCCTGCCTGGTGTTTTCCCTAAATGCCACATAACATAAACACCTAGAAAAAGTGCAAAAGAGAGCATGAAAGGTTATTCTCCCCTTCCTACTTCACATATCAAGAAGCGCTCAACACACTGACCCTCTCGGCTATCTCTTATCATCTCCATGACCTCATCTGCAAATTTGGGGCGAAGATTCTGCATCATCCTAGAGATCTTGTCCACGAATTGCTGTTCGACACCACAACCGCATCCAGCCCATACGTGCACGAACTGATCGCTATAAGAACAGCCCAGCCCCAACCATTGTAAAATCATCAATAACTTGTAATAAACCAGTGTATTCACTCCCAGTAAATATTACTTGCACTGTCACTATGTTGAAATGCACTGTAGTTTGAGCTTTTCCCCATCTAGTTATTATATATCTTATTTGTATCACTTATGTTACTTGTATATTATTTGTAATTCGAAACCCATTCCCCAAATATGTAACTGTATATTTTCAGCCTCTTGGCTGCTCTTTCAATAAACCGTTAATCATTATTATTATTATTATTATTATTATTATTATTATTATTATTATTATTATTATTATTATTATTATTATTATTATTATTATTATTATTATTATGTTGTATTATTATTATTATTATTACACTCTCCCTCTCCTCATTCACTCTCTCACTTTCAGTCTTCTTTCTATTCGTCTCTATCACCATTTCATCCATTCCATCTTTCCCTCCCCAAAAACATTTATCTGTCGCCTTCTCTCTCGCCTACCCCACTTTATCTCTCTCTCTGTCCCAAGTCCTTCATCTCTTCTCACCAAACACTTTTCATCACTACTCCCATCAACATTCATTTATTCTCGTGTCCTTTGCTTCCTCTTTTCGTTCGGTCATTGAGGTTTTATACCAAAGACCCGCCTGGTTTATGCACGGTTTTTTTTGTCGGCAAACCAATAGTTTTATCTACTAGGTTAGGATGGGTTTAGTTAGGTTAGGATTAGGTTAGGTTACGTAATGGTTTAGGTTAGAAGGTTTGGTGTTACGTACTGTTAGGTTGTTAGGTTTTCAGTTAAAGACAAAATCCATCAAAGCGTAATGACGACTTTCTGTATGATAATATATGAGCCCAAAGGTGGTATTTGTTTACACGTTCAGAGATGTAATAGTTTAACCTTCTCTCCCCGGACGCCTGATGCTACTCCGCAGACTTCGCCAACACCACCGACAGGGACAAATTGACCTCCGTTATACTGGAACGCTCAGTAAACGTGTTAAGAACTAAAAAGAAGAAAAGGCGGAAGGTTTGTTTTCATCTTGATCCAGATTTTGACTGTATCACGCCTCGACAGGAACGATTTCTTTAAAGAGCTTCCATTACCGTCCCCTGTTGTTGCTGTTGCCGCGCCGTCGTCTTCACCTCCTACCCATCCTACAGGTTGCTCTACTGCCGCTGTTGTTGCTGTGGCGCTTCTCTTCTCTTCCCTTTCTGTTTTTTTCTGTTATCGCACTTCTTCTTTTCCTTTCCTTTTCTCATCGGGTTTCTTTCGGATGTATTCTGTAAATGACAGATGTGGGATCACCTCGGCTCTCCTGACACTCACACACACACACACGACCCTCTGTCTCCTGCCTGTCCCTTCACAAGACTTCCCCAGGCCTTCCTCTCTTTCATCTACCCTCCCTAGCAATCAACCACATCTACTCTCACTCCTGTTTCTCTTCCTCCTCACTCTCTCACCCAGTACCTCTCTCACTCCCCCCTTCCCCCTCCCTCACTGTCTCACCCAGTCCTTCTCTCACCCAGTCCCTCTCTCACTCCCCCTTCCACCCTCGCTCACCCCTCACCCACTCTGTGATTTTTTCCCAGGGACAACGTTAACTTTTATAAGATTCTCAACATTAATTTCTATCCTCCTTAACACATCCTAAGTTAACTTATCTAGTTATGGCAGAACCCTAGTGTAATTTTTGATGTTAATTATTGATATTTTATCGCTCCCTAATATCAGTTCCATGCAGTTAGTTACCATGCAGCAGTATTCAATGTAAGAACTTTTGTAAATCTAAACTCCAGTACTCCAACACAGTTCCTTCCTCTTACCAGTTATATAAATTCGTATACTAGATTCCTTCACTTCACCAGCAGCGTCCGGGAACTGTCACGGGTATAACACGAGATCCCAGCGACATATAAACTAATTTCAACTCTGCAAGATGTAATATGAACTTGTTTGTTGAAATGAAACTGTATAGCTGATATGAAGACGACACTGTAATATAATTGTCATCTCGTGAAGTAACTCTTAAAGTGATAATCTCACTTAATTTGATAATCTGACTTTCTGCTTTATTTAAGGGAATATTTTAAGGATTTAGGGATAATATTGATATTAATTTTAAGGTTCAGGAATTGGACTATAAACAACTTTCTTACACTACACGTAAACAAACTCCTAAATCAATGTCATTAAACAACTTGGATTAAATATGATGTTTTTAATTAAGGTTCATCAGTGACTAAGACAACATGGGACATTCATCTCCTCCAGCAGCCCGAAATGGACTTCTGGTTGGCTCTCACATTACTGTTATCATGAGATGTTTTAATATTCATGTGTGTGTGTGTGTGTGTGTGTGTGTGTGTGTGTGTGTGTATGTGTGTGTGTGTGTGTGTGTGTGTGTGTGTGTGTGTGTGTGTGTGTGTGTGTGTGTGTGTGTGTGTGTGTGTGTGTGTGTGTGTGTGTGTGTGTGTGTGTGGGTGTGTGTGTGTGTGTGTGTGTGTGTGTGGGGTGTGTGTGTGTGTGTGTGTGTGTGTGTGTGTGTGTGTGTGTGTGGGGACGGTCCATCTAACACCGCTGTATGAGATGATGAATGTGTTGGTTCCTGTGTCTGGTGTAATCTCTGTCTACACTCTCCCTTACTCCTTCATTCCTTCTTTTATTTATTTTACGTATTTAATCCTTCCTTCAATCCTTCATTCATTCTCTCTTTTCTTTCTTTCATTCCCTCACTCTCTCCTCTCCTTCAAGACTACTCTCTCTCTCTCTCATCACCATCCACCCAACATTCCCCTCCTCCCTCCCTTCCCCATTACCTCACTTGCGCCCTTACTCACTTTATTTCATGACCACACACACACACACACACACACACACAAGAGTATAGTTCATCACCTCGTTTAATTAACCCCATCGTGGATGAGTGGTACTTCTACTCAACCTACGATAGAGCTATACGTTGGTTCGATCTGTCATGTCCTTCTCAACCATCTGTCTGTCACAGTAGAGCCCCGACAGCTGGTAATGAATGACTCGGGGATAATAATCTTCTCACCATCTGCCCGTCACAGTAGTACCTCCTCCCAATTCCCTCTGGACAGCTGGTAATAACTCCTAAATAGTAATCAGTGCCGCAGCTGGTGACACGCTACTAACACTGCACCACCTGCTGTTCCTCCCGTTATAAACACCCCAGCTGTAACCATTTAAAACGTGACAAATAAGACCTGTTCCCACCTCCTACTCCTCCTAAGACTTGCCCCTCTCCTCCTCCTCCTCCCAGACCTGCTCCCTCCTCCTCCTCCTCCTCCCAAGACCTCCCCTCTTCCTCCCTCCTAAGACCTGCCCCCTCCTCCTCCTAAGACCTGCTCTCCTCTCCTCCTCCTCCTTCTCCCAAGACCTCCTCCTTCTCTTGCCCACTCTTATACTGCTGTTCATCTCCAGGTACAAAGATGGTTTTATTTACACTCACTGACCAGTACCTACATCACGCCTACACCATCATGTTAATTGTCTGTTGACTTTAATGGTGTCATAAAATCCCGACGAGTGTTGGCATTACACGGGACGTATCGAGACTACTGAATATTTTACTACCTCTTGTCCCTCTTTCATTGTTGGCAGTGTGAGGATCGTGAGAGTGGTGTCAGAAGATCGTGATAGTGGTGTCAGAGGATCGTGATAGTGGTGTCAGAGGATCGTGATAGTGGTGTCAGAGGTTCGTAATAATGGTGTCAGAGGATCGTGAGAGTGGTGTCAGAGGTTCGTAATAATGGTGTCAGAGGATCGTGATAGTGGTGTCAGAGGATCGTGATAGTGGTGTCAGAGGATCGTGATAGTGGTGTCAGAGGATCGTGAGAGTGGTGTCAGAGGTTCGTAATAATGGTGTCAGAGGATCGTGATAGTGGTGTCAGAGGATCGTGATAGTGGTGTCAGAAGATCGTGATAGTGGTGCCAGAAGATCGTGATAGTGGTGTC